CGCGGCGTGCCCGGGGGGGTGGCGGCGGCGGCGGCGGCGCCGGGGGTGTCCCCGGGGCCGGGGGGGGGCAGGTGACACCCCTCGAGCTGGGCGGCCAAGCGCGTGGCCTCCCGCACCATCTCCTCCAGGCGGGCCCCTCGCAGGGGGCTCCAGCGCCCCCCGCCCTCCCCGCGCCGGGACCCCCCGCCCGGGCTCTCCTCGTCCTCCTCTTCATCCTGGCTGGGGGGGCAGGGGGGGCTCAGCACTGTCCCCAGCCCCCCCCCCCCCCCCCCCGCTGTCCCCCCCCCCCTAAACACCGTGGGCAGGAGGAGGGGCACGGACCCCCCCCACCCCAGAAACCCCACTCGTGGGACCCCTGGGAGCCCCAGAACCACATCCATGGTGGGGGGGATGTGCACAGGACCCCCCGAGCCACATCCACGGGGGAGGTGGGATGTCCACAGGACCCCGTTGGGGGGTGCCACGTGCCCTGTGACCCTGCCCGTGGGGGGCCGTGTACCCCAGGACCCCAAGGATGAGGGGCCGCGCCCCCCACAACCCTATCCATGGGGTGTCCCCCCCGTCTCCCAAATCCCATCCATGTCCCCCCTGTCCCCCTCATCCCCACCCACATCCCCCCATGTCCCCCCCTGTCCCCTCCACGTCCCCCTGTCCCCCCCCCCTCCCCGTACCTGTCGGAGGGTGACAGGACCCCGAAGTCAAAGCTTTCCTCGGTGACAAACCGCACATCTGGGGGGGGAGAAAACGAGGGGTGAGCCCCGCCCCGCCCCCCCCCACCCCGCGCGCGGGGAGGGGACACGGGGGAGGGACACGCGGGGCTGGCACTGCCAGCACTGTCACCCCCTACCTCTGTCCTCGGCCATCGCCTGGGCCCGGGGCTGCTGCGGGAGCGAGGGGGGCAGGGGGTCACCACCGACCCCGGCGGGGACCCCCCCGCCAGGGCCCGACCCCCCCTCAGTGTCCCCGACCCCCCTGGGGACCCGGTGGCACCGGGTGGCACCGCCTGTGCCAGTGCCAGGCACCGCCAGCTCCGCGTCATCGGGACGGGGACAGGGACGGGGAAGGGGGGGACACACACCGGGGACCCCCGGGACCCCCGCCCGGCGAACCCCCAGCACCGCGTGCCCAGCCCAGGGGTCCCCAGTGCCACATTTAGGGGGTCCCGGCCCCACATTCCCAGTCCTGGGGGTCCCAATCCCACAGTGGAGGTCCCCAATGCCACATTTGGGGAGTCCTGGCCCCACATCCCCAGTCCTGGGGGTCCCCAGTGCCACACTGGGGGGGTCCCAGCCCCACATCCCCAATCCTGGGGGTCCCAGTCCCACAGTGGAGGGTCCCGCTCCCCCCATCCCGGTCCCTGGGGGTCCTCAGAGCCACATTGGGGGGTGTCCCAACCCCACACCCCCGTGCCTGGGGGGTCCCAGCCCCGCACTAAGCGGGTCCTGGCCTCACCAGGGGGGTCCAAACCCCACAGCCCCATCCGTGGGGGTCCCAGCCCCGCACTAAGAGGGTCACAACACCACGGGGAGAGGTCCCAGCCACGCAACCCCATCCCTGGGGGTCCCAGCCCCACATCCCGACCCCTGAGCGTCCCAGCCCGACCGAGGGGGTCCTAGCCCCGCAGCCCCATCCCCAGGGGTCCCCCAGCCCCACACTAAGGTGGTCTCAGCCCCCCCCCGGGTGGTCCCAGCCTCGCAATCCGACCCCGCGTCACCCCCTCCCCGCACGGGGGGGCTCCACCCGCGCTGCCCGCGCTCCCCCCGAGCCCTCCCGGTCGGTTCCCCTTCCCGGGACCCCCCTGACCCCCTCGGACTGTCCCGTGTCCCCCCCCTTATCCCCCCCCATCCCCCCTCTCACCGCCCCCGGCTCCCGCTCCGCGCGCGCTGCGGGGGGCGTGGCTTCACGTGTGGGGGCGTGGCTTGGTTGGAACAGCCCCGCCCCTTGCGGCTCAGCGGTGATGACCCCGCCCCCCCGGCTCCCATTGGCTGGCCCTACTTTCTCCGCGGCGCCGATTGGCCGATCTCCCCTGCGCGCCTCGCGCTGATTGGCTGTGCCGCGGGGCTCGTGACAGGAAAGGGGCGTGTCCCGGAAGCGCCCCCGCCATGGCGGCACCCGCCGTGCCCCCCGAGTCGTGGCAGCCCCCGACGGTGGCCATGGAGACCACGTAAGGACCGGGACCCCCCCGGGAACCGGGACAGGCTCGGCCCCTGCGGGGGGACAGCGGGGACAGCGGGGGGTACCACCCGCACCCCCCCCACTGCCGGGACCGGGCTCCATACTGAGCCCCGCCCCCCCATGGGATCGGGAAACCTCCGGGATCCCCCTGAGCCCCCCCGGGACCGGGAAACCCTCGGGGTCCATCCTGAGCCCCCCCCGGGAGCAGGAAACCTCCTGGGTCTCCCTGAGCCCCCCTCGGTCCCGGGCAGACCCCGGGGTCCCGTCTTCCCCCCATTGCCCCCCGACCCTCCCCCCGCTGTGCCCCTGCCCTGATCCCGGAGGGTCACAGTTAGGGTGACCCCATTTCCTGGGACCCTTCCCATTCCCGTTATTCCCGTTGTTATTCCCGGTGTTCCAGGATGGACTCGCTGGTGCTGGAGCTGTACTGGCTGCACAGCCCCGTTCCCATTCCCGTTATTCCTGTTGTTATTCCCGGTGTTATTCCAGGATGGGTTCCCTGGTGCTGGAGCTGTCCTGGCTCCACAGCCCCGTTGTTATTCCCGTTGTTATTCCCGTTGTTATTCCCGGTGTTATTCCAGGATGGGTTCCCTGGTGCTGGAGCTGTCCTGGCTCCACAGCCCCGTTGTTATTCCCGTTGTTATTCCCGGTGTTATTCCCGGTGTTGTTCCAGGATGGGTTCCCTGGTGCTGGAGCTGTACTGGCTCCACGCCCCCCGCACGTGCCGGAACTTTGCCGAGCTCAGCCGGCGCGGTTACTACAACGGCACCAAATTCCACCGCGTCATCCGGGACTTCATGGTGCAGGGCGGGGACCCCACGGGCACGGGTGAGCGCACAGGCCCCCCCGGGACCCCCTCCCCGACCCAGGACACCCCCCCACCATCCCACTGACCCCCCCTGTCCCCCCCAGGCCGCGGCGGCGCCTCCATCTACGGGAAGCAGTTTGAGGATGAGCTGCACCCCGACCTCAAGTTCACAGGTGAGTGGGGATGGGGGGGCACTGGGACCCCCCACCTGTGTCAGGAGAGACCCCCCAGGACCCCTCAGGACCTTGGTAGGGGGTGCCATGTCCCCTGTGTCCCCATGACCCTCAGGAGCCACCCGTGGGGTGCCGTGTCCCCCACGTCCCCAACCGTGGGGTGACACGTCCCCCGTGACACCAGAGCCTTGGCCATGGGGTGCCATGTCCCTGTGTCCCCATCCATGGGGTGCCATGTCCCTGTGTCCCCATCCATGGAGTGCCATGTCCCTGTGTCCCTGAGCTCCCATGTCCCTGTGTCCCTGAGCTCCCATGTCCCTGTGTCCCCATCCCTGAGGTGCCACATCCCCCATGAGACCAGAACCTCGACCATGAGCTCCCATGTCCCTGTCTCCCTTCCTGAAGTCCCTGTCCCCCGTGTCCCCATCCCTGAGCTCTCATGTCCCCCTTGACACCAAGACCTTGACCATGAGCTCCCATGTCCCCGTGTCCCCATCCCTGAGCTCCCATGTCCCTATGCCCCCCACCGTGAGGTCCCCGTGTCCCCATCCATGAAGTGCCACATCCCCAATGACACCAATACCTTGGCAATGAGGTCCCATGTCCCCATGTCCCCATGCCTGAGCTCCCATGTCCCCCATGACACCAGAACCTTGACCATGGGTTCCCATGTCCCCATGCCCTCCCCCTCTGAGCTCCCAATTCCCTCTGTCCCCATCCCTGAGCTCCCATGTCCCTGTGTCCCCCTTCCTGAGCTTCCACATCCCCCATGACACCACCACCTTGACCATGAGCTCCCATGTCCCCATCCATGGTGTGCCATGTCCCTCTATCCCCATCCCTGAGCTTCCATGTCCCTGTGTCCCCATCCATGGGGTGCCACGTCCCCCATGACACCAGAACCTTGACCATGGGCTCCCATGTCCCCATGCCCTCCCCTCTGAAGTCTGTGTCCCTGTGTCCCCATCCCTGAGCTCCCATGTCCCTGTATCCCCATCCCTGAGGTGCCACGTTCCCCATGACACCAGAACCTTGACCGTGGGCTCCCACATCCCTGTGCCCCCATCCCTGAGCTCCCACATCCCTATGCCCCCCCCCGATGTCCCCATATCCCCCCCCGATGTCCCCATATCCCCCCCCGATGTCCCCATGGTCCCCCCCATGTCCCCGTGGTCCCCCCCATGTCCCCGTGTCCCCCAGGCGCGGGCATCCTGGCGATGGCGAACGCGGGGCCGGACACGAACGGCAGCCAGTTCTTCGTGACGCTGGGCCCGGCGCAGTGGCTGGACGGCAAGCACAGCATCTTCGGCCGCGTGTGCCAGGGCATGGGCGTGCTGGGCCGCCTGGCCATGGTGGAGACCAACGCCCAGGACCGGCCCCTGGACGACGTCAAGATCATCAAGGCCTATCCCGTGGGGTAGAGGGGACGCCTTCCCCCTGCACACCCCCAAAAAATTGTACAGTTGGAATAAAAGAGGTTGGGTTTGGTGGGGGTTGTTGTGTGTGTGTGTGTCCCCCACCCACAGAGGGTCCTGGCACCCCTCGGGGTGCTACCCTGTCACCTGTGGGATCGCTGGGCTTTGGGGGAAAAGGCTCCCACCCCCCAAAAAAATGCTGGGCTCCCCACGTGGCACTGGGGACCCCCAGACTGGCACTGGGGTCCCTGTGCCAGCACACACTGGGTGTGCCCCCTGGCTCTGGGTGACCCCCCTTCAGCTCTGGGTGACCCCCCCTGGGTCTGGGTGTCCCCCCTGGGTCTGGGTGTTCTCCCCCCTCCTAGCTCCCAGTGCAGGACCTGGGACAGCACTGGGAGGCACTGGGTGATCCTGGTGATGGTGCAGGGGTGGCACTGGGGGCACTGGGAGGGACTGGTTGAGGGGGCAGTGGGGCCGTTGGGGGCTCTGGGGGGTGGGTGCTACCACAGGGATCCCCACAGCACCGGGGGGGGGTCACTGGGAGGACTGGAGGGACGCTGGGGGCACCGGGAGCCCCCGGGGGGTTACCAGGAGGGGGGGAGGGGGCAGCACCGGG